TTGTGATTAAGCTATGAGCATAAAGTGGTTATTGAAAATTGAAGCACTTTCCTCCCAAGGCTTAGTAGACAATTCCTCTGCAACGATTCAGGAGACATGGTCCACTTCTACCCAGAAGGGCCTTAACCACACTTTGATCCATTTACCATGCTGTACATTCATTCCTACCTGGGGAAGGAGCATTGAAGCCATCAGGAAAGCCTCTATTCAGAACAGAGTCAAGGGTCACAGTGTAGACATTTGGCCTCTCTGTCCCCCCTTAGTCACTAATACCATTCACTGTAAAGTTCAGTGAATGTCACAACTCACACCAAGCATGAGGGCTTGGCCCGGTAGGCCACAGGCACTGAACACTGGAGGCCCCATAGCAGCTCTAGGTAAGGCAGGATCCAAACACTCATATTTCACCTAAGTGAGCCCTGTGTCAGCATCACTTACAGAGCCCCATGACAATATCACTGTGCATGAGTGACTACATCCCTGATCTCTGGGAGGCCACACGGCTTTCTAGCTCCACTTCCTGAATTCTGAGGTTTCTAAGAAACAGGAATGAAGCAGAGCCCAGAAACAGTAGCCAGCAGTCCAGGGCACCCTCAGCTCACAGCCTGACCCAGTACAGGTACCCACATGGCCTGACCCCAGCCTGTCTGTGGCCCTGTGGCCTGGTGACCCAGCCTGCCCCATCAGCACTGCAGACTGAATGCTACAGATGTAACCTACATTCTGCCTGCATAGCTGCCATTCTCCCCTTGTCTCTGACCCCAGATTAGGTCACAAGGAGGTAAGGACAGGCCCTTGGTGCACCCTGTTCCCCTTCACACAGAATCTAGTGCTTACTGAAGCAGTTTCTGCACAGGACACACTAGGCGGCACACAGAGGAGCTACAGGGGCTTCCAAGCAGGAGGGGCCCCCACACCCCCAGAAGCTCAAGAAAGTGGCCAGTCTCTGAGGGTTCCAGGTAACTTGTCCTGGGTAAAGGAGCCCAGTGGGGTGCAGGAAGAAATGGGGTACCAATACCTTGGGCTATGTTGAGCATCCTGTTCTGGATCCCAGACACAGAAAGAATGAAAAGTAAAAGTTCTGAGGCTTCTCAGCCCCAAAAGATCCTACTCCCACTGAGGAGCAAGCAGAGATGACTGACAGCTCAAGACCTGCCCAGGAGCTGGCTCTGCTGCCCGAGGGTCAGGGGCCAGGACCCAGGCCCAGACTGTAAACACCAGCAAAGCAGATGCCTTAGAAAGGAGAAGCACACAGAACAGGCCTGGAGCTCTGAGCTCTTGGTCTGTGTCTCACACAGAATATGATGTTACTGGAAGCATGCAGATGACCTAAGTGACAGCACTGTCTGAGTGAACTGGAGGAAAGGGTAGGGAGGCAGCAGGCACTCACAAGACTTCTCTGCTGAGCTCTAAACTTCAAATGCATTTGCTCCTGTAATCTCAGTCCCAATTTCATTTTATGGTTAAAAAAAAAGCCTGAAAGACTAAGTGAACGTTCCAAAGTCACTGAACAACAGAAAGTGACTACAGTCCAAGGACTGAGCCCAATCCTATCCATGTTTGACATCAGTGGTAGGGCAGAGGAGCATCCCTGAGGTTCACCCTGACTGGTAACCCAGGAGAGGGCACCTGAGAGATGACAACTAAGCACTCAAGGTCACATGAAGGTCTCACAGGGACTCCACCAGTACAGAACTCTGGGCAGGCCAGCAGAAATTGAGGTAGTGTCTATAAAGGGCTTTCAACCACACAAAACATCCCTTTGGTCCTACAAGACTGGGGGTGGCAAGAAGGTGTGTGATGAAGGTCAGGACATAGCCCCTGCTATGTGAACATGGAACCTCAGCACCCCACTGAAGGGGCCAAAAGTGATCAGAGAAGAGACCCATGGCTTCCGCCAATGAGTTCATACAGTGACCTAGGCCATGTACAGCAAGCACAGGCCCCTTCCAAGATGCTCATGACTTCCTTCTAAAACATACCAGAGGCTTGAGAAACCTTTGCTGAGTCTCAAAGTGGAGCAGAAATGAGGTAAGCAATAGCCACCACCTCAGGGCTGAAGCAATGTTCTCTGTTCCTTAGCTCTGACCTGGATCCCACACCTGTCCATCCCAGTGGAGACTCCAAGTCTTGACCTAAAGCTGAGTCACCCTGGACTCACGGAGTCCATGTATCCTAAGAGTTGTGGACTCTGAGCTGTCATTGGAACAGCCCATTTGGTCCCAGTGGATGCAAGGCACCTCATGGAGGTACACAGGGCATCCCATGGGTGGAGGGCACCAGTGGGACCCAGCTCTCCAGTTCTGCTGAAAGGGGAGACACTTCCTTTTCTACCACTCAGCTTCATATCTGCACATGCCCAGCTTTCTGGAGTGGGCTACAGAAAAGTTATAAAATATGCATTCTTTAAGCTGCTGAAAGGTAGTTAATTCATTCTCTTCTTAAATAAAATGAAGAATGGTTTTAGAATGGCCTTAATGCAGTTTTAATAGAACTGTTTAAAAACTAACATTAAGGTAAAAATCCAGTCTCTGCCTGCTTCACACCCTCTTACACACTCCCAGCACAAAAGGAACACTGGTATATGCCCAGCACCACATGAGCTCCCAGAGGCAAGCTCACAGGCACCCTCATGTCCCTGAGTGGGAGGTGCGTGGAGGGTATGAGGACACAGCTTTGTGTGCCTCAGCATGGTTCAGGCACTGCCCATAACCTGGGCTTCCAATGGGCAAAGAGTGGAGAAGCCCCTTGAAGAGTCCTCTGGAAACAGGAAGCAGAAACTGTGTCCTCTGCACCTGGCATGCAGACAAGAAAGAGCCAGAGAGAGGAAGTCAGCAGTGGCATCCCTGCCCGTGCCTCACTCTTTAGGAGCCAAGTACCATCCTGGAAGGAAAGGTGATGTGAGGAATGGGGGCCAGAATGCCACGTCACATCCAGAGGCTCCTTTCTCCACAGAAGCCCACAGACTCAAGGAGAGTCCCCTGGGATCCTTGGGGATACTACAACCCAGGTGACTGGAGAGCCTGACTTCTCAGGGCCCAGTGGCAATTGGGTCTAGATCTGCACTCCAGGACCCCATGCACCAAGTCTACCTACAGACACCCCAAGGCTGAGCCAGCTATGCCCCAAATATGTCCCAAGAATGAGGCAGAGCTCTGCCTGCCTGAGGGCTAATCAGTTGCTGCTCTTGAGACCTCAAGTATTTGACTATCATCCAACTTGCCTATTTAGCTATGTCACCCAGTTTCTCTGAATCCTTGCTACCCTATGTCTTTCTTTGGATGACCTGCATAGTTCAGCACCCATGAACTCCTTGTTGCCTGTGTCTCTAGATGCCAGGCTTGACAAGTGCCATATCAAGCACATAGCTACGCCCCAGGTGTGTAAACATTCCTGTCTTCTCTAGTCCTCATCTGGTTCTAGGACAGAGCCCCTCAAATGGAGCAGGCTATGATGGTACTAGTATGTTCCCAAGCGCTCATTCCTTTTGGGAAGTGACATGAGGGTCTGACTTCATGGTTGATTAATCTGATAGAGTCACAAAGGGACAGCCTTACCCGAAGGTAAAGGACAAAGGACGTAGGGCCCAGTTGAAAGGACTGGGCCCTCGGGCAGTGACCTTGGGGACTGTATCTGGCCTCTTCCTCTCTGACTCCCTCCTTCTGCTTCCTACTGCCTTGAGCTAAACAGCCTTCTCCCATGTTACTGGTTGGGGTCAGCCATGGACCAAACCCTCTGAATCCAAGTGGCACCCCAGGGAATGGGACCCAATTCTCCACTTCCTGAAGGTGATTTGCCTGGGGATTTGGTCACTGTGAGGAGAGCTAACCAATATTCCCACCAGAAGACACAGTTTCTGCTTCCTGTCACCAGTGTGTAATGCCTGGAAGTTCCTGTTTATATCCTGTTCCTAGTGAAGTCTCTACCCAGCCTCTTCCTATAGGGCTCAGTGAGAAAGCCTGGGCCTGGGTCAGCATAGGCTTCAGACAGCATGGGCCTAGGTAAGCCATTGCTGAAGCTGGCTGAGCCTACAGCCATCTCAGGATCTGTCTCATTCTCATGCCTCGACCACCACGAAATCACAGGGGACAGCACAGGGCATAGCAGCAAGGTCTCTTAAGGAAAGGAAACAGCCACCCTGGCCCCAGATTGAGGGAAGATGGGGACCACTGGCTTCAGAAAAGCAGCACAATCAGGTGACAACAGGAATTAGCATTTGAACATCTTGATAAGTGAAAGGAAAGAGAGCTGGATCACTGAATGAAACATATTATTCATTGTCAGGCAGAACAATAGAATAAGACATAAATAACAGCCAGTGCCTGACCTGCTGGTTTCATTCAGACATGGTAGACACTGTACTCATGCAGCCCTTGGAACATGACTCACAACTGTCAGGGGTGGTAGAAGGACAGAAGGCAGCAAAGAGGAAGGGGGGAGGGGAGAAGAGGGAAAAGGGAGAGCAGGAAGGAGAAGGGGAGGAAGAAGAGAGAGGACCAATGTAGAGAGCCAGCATCCAGCTCCTTCCTCTGAAACTTGGAGGGCTGCAAAAGCGTTGCTAATGAACCAAGGAGACCCAGGGGCCTGTGATCAGGCAGGCTGTGTATGAATCTGGCTCTCCTAGAAAGCCTCCATGGAGCGGGGTGTTTTCTAGGTGGGCAGCTTCTGCCCCGTGGCTGGGCTATGATTCATTGCCCCAAAGCCATTAGTTCTACTGGCTGACTGTGGGTTCAGTAGTCCACAGCTCTCGGAGGTCTCACTCACCACTCACCTCAGTGCTGAGAATCAGGCTGGCTAATGGGCCAAGCGGCCAGGCCCATTTGGCACGAAAGACCTTGAGCTCTGAGCCCACTTATGTCCAGCCCATGTAGCAGTCTGTCCTTCCCACAACCTTCAGAAAACTCCATGGACAGCAGGTGACAGTGCCCTCCCAGGAATAGGGAGCCCAGCTTACCACCCTGGGCACAGCTGTGGTGGATATAGAAACCAGTGAACACTACCTTGGTGAAGGTCAGGCAGTCCTGGTCACGGTCCTTCATCTCAAAATCATACAGAGCAGTGCCCTGGGGTGGTGTCTGTGGCAGGGGTCGGAGGCACTGGACATAGCTAGCTGGGAGGAAGCCCCTTGTGCCATGTAGTTCACCGTGGTACCAGTGGTCATCCACCCGGCGCCGCAGAATGATGACATCTCCCTTGTTGAACTTGAGGTCTCCGGGCTCCTTCCCCTCATAGCTGTAGAGGGCCTTGCCATATGGGAGCTGGGGAAGACTCTGGAAGCAGAAGACAACACAGGGTCACTGGAATGGAGAGGCACCTGTTGAGTGGCCTGTGTTTCCAGGAGGCCTCTGTATCCCAAAGCACAAGCAGCCTATCCAGGAGCTCAGCACTTCCAGTCCCAGTTGGATAGCCAGGGCCCAATGCAGTGAGAGCTGCCCTCCCTCAACTTGAGGGGCCAAGTCCATGCACAAGGGCCTGCAGATGTGAGTTCTTACCCACCCATTGCTCTGTGCTGTATCGATTCCCACTGACTGTGATTTCCAAGGAACATTCTCCACAAAGCTGCCAGATTCTCAGGAGTTATCACCTAACACCTGTTTGCTTTGCTCCTGATCTCTTAACTCAGGACACAGGGGCTCCAGGTTCACACAACAGCACACGGATCATGCTGTACCCTTCAACTCTATAGCCTCAAGTGGTCACATCCACTCACCAGGCCCAGGCAAGAGACCCTTGGTCCTTATCACAGACCTCCACCAGTCATTACACGTGGTTTTTGTCACATGCAACTGCCTGGTTCAGAAACATGATTGTGAGGGCTTAGTTCTGTCCTTTTGGTCAAGGCTTCTCTTGCCATTCCATCAAGAGTGAGTGGTCCCACCACCCTATCCCAAATGGAGCCACTTGCTTTGGTTTCAAACCTTCATCTTTGAGATCCCTCAGTGAGTCTCTGGGATGTCTTCTGCCCTGAACAGTCCCATGGCTCAGCCTTGTGCTGCATCCATCCTTAGGTTTCTCCTGCAGGCCCCATACTGCAGATCCTGGGCTGCATGGGCTCTACCTTTTCCTTACAGCTGGCAGCACCAGCCTAGTGGTGGGCTTTGCTAGAAGCCCTGCTTATGCAGAGGAGCACCATTCTGTGACACACACAAGTCCCTTCCTGAAGCCACACTTTTGTACCAGGCTGTCTGCACCACAGCCCCTGCAGCAGTTGAACCATTAGCAGCAGCCCAAACCATGAGCAGCAGAACACAGAAGTTGTCACATAGCAGGCACCCTAGCCATGGCAATCCATGTACAGCAGATGGATGTCTGATGGCAGTACAAAGACAAGCCAGCAGGCAGAGTAACCACTGCCAGCCACCACAGGGAAGGCCAGAGAGTATGAAGAGGAAAGCCTGTGTGGGTCAAGGACTTCTGGACAGTAGAGCAAAGAACACAGGGTGCTACAGCCCAGCTTTCAGGGAGAAGCAAAGGGGGTTGAAGCGGGATAAGAGCTCCAGCTCAACCACCACAAGCTGCTAGGATGCCATCACTGTGGGACAGCAGCATGCCACTGCCACAGGCCACCAGGGTACAGCAGCCACACAAGACTGGCCAGCCAGGATCCAGGGATTCACAGGCAGGAGTACAATGTCTGAAGAAGTATTCGGCTGTCACACTGGAAATTGGGTGTTGCTAAAGTCTGGAGGGTAGAGGTTAGGGAGACTTCACCACCCCAACACAGGACACCCAGCAACATGGATCACAGCCAGGCTGGAGGTACCCAGAGCTTAGCATGAGTCTGCAAAAGAGCAGGATAGCCCTTCCTTCCTCCCTTTCTCCTTTCCTCCCTCCCTTCCTTATTTTCTTCCTGTTTTGTTTTGTTTTGAGACATGGTCTCATTCCATTGGTCAGGCTGGCCTTCAACTTTTGACACTCCTGCCTCAGCCTCCTGAGTAGCCGGGATTATAGATATGCCCACCACATCCAGCCAGTGACTTTCTTGCTCTACTTCAACTTAGCTAAGCATTATTTTAAAAGTTAAATACATTTATCTTCATAATGAGCATGTTTTCACCATAGCTACAAGGAAAAGCTTGGGCTTCCATCCAAGGAGAAGGTTTAAGGCACAGAAAAAAAGAACCATGGGAAGCTTGAAAACTGGCCCTTCCAGGGCATGAGGCTTGCACAGAGCCTGCTGCTGCTGCTTCTGTAGCTATAGGCACCCAGGGAGTGTCCCAGGGCCTCTGCCTTGTAGCCAGTTGGTCACTCTCACTTTTGTTAGTCACCGCAGTGAACAAGCAAGGCTGGTTTCTGCCTCACCTGCAGCTCTTGTGCTGCCCGGCGAGATGGAGACACCTAGCCCCCTTGGGCCTGTCACAGTGTCCTGTAGATAGCTGACAGAAGCCACCTGAAAACATCATTCATACCACAATGTATGTTCTGGCCTCCACCTGCCCAGTGTGGCTGGGACGGCTGGGGCAGGGGACAGAGAACCATGTCACCATCTTCCCATCCTGGCAGGAAGGTGTTCCTAAGCCTTGGGAACCCAAAAAGGCCCCACATCTGAGCACTGGCCAGAGGTAACCCACCATGCTCACCCCCTCTGCCCCCCTGAAAATGTCCCACTCTCAGACACCCCAGTTCCACTTTCCTCCAGGCAGCTCATCCTGTCAGCACCTGCTATAAATTCACTCCACAGCCCTGGTCCTAACCATGAACTCCACCAACCACCAAGCAAAAGCACCCCCCCCCAGCTCCATGTCCAGGATCTTGGGAACTCTGTGTGCCCCTCTAGTCCTATTCCCACACTCCCACCATACCCCAAGACTAACTAGTGCTGCCTGCTCCCAGGACTACTCTACCACCGTGGCGTCTGGGTTCTCCAACATGGCAACCACAGTCGCTGCTGGCAGCTGTCCTTTCCAGACACCACAAGAAGTGTCCATTCTCAGGAAGAGCATGGCCCCAAGACTTGCAGGCCTCACAAATGGAGCTCCGTCCTCTTCCTTCCCATTACGCACAAGTGGGGCTCCCAAGGCTGGACGAAGGACAAGGAGGGGAAGGAAAGGAAAGAAGGGGAGAAGGAGCAGGGGTCAGAGGGTAAGGGGACAGCATCCACTACTCACTCAAGCTACCCAGTGCAGGACAGAGCATAGCTGCGGGGAAAGAATCTTTAAAGACCCAGAGCCCCACCTGAGGGCAAAACATAGGTCAGAGAGGAAGTGGGTTACAAAGGGAAGAGGAGCTGGGACTCCACAAGGCTGTCAGGACCCGCTCAGAAACAATGACACAAGACACCCTCATCTCACATCCACAGCGACTGTGAGATCCACCGAATTGCTGGAGAAGCCTAGGGGCCATGAGCTCTATCGAGAGAGACTCCTATAGACTCACTGTGCTGCCCAGGTCCTGAGGTTCACACCCTCATTTTAGCTCAGGGGCCAAGCTGGCAATTTGAGCCACAGCCTCTTTGCCCACAGAAAGATACCTCTATAGCACAGTAGAGCATTCCAAACTTTGCTGTGAAGACACCAGTAAGGAAAGAAAGCAAAGGTAAAGGTGGAAAGAGCCTGAGAGGCCTATTATACAAGGCACACCAGCTTCTCCCATGAGGCACAATAATAATTAAAACCCAGAATGTTGATTTCACAGTTCATTACACGGCATATAGATCCTTCCCTGGCTTAACATCCTACCCCATGGAGAGGAGACAACACTCACTTGACATGCATGCACACACACACCCACACATGGCCAGGCAACTACTCTAGGCAACAATTTTAGGGGAGCATAACTCTAGGGGAGCACATGGCTAGGCAACTACTCTAAGGCAACAACTCTAGGGGAGCGTACTCATGTGTTAGAGGCTGTGGTAAAGGGGAGAAGCTGGTGCCTGATGGACCCAGAGGATTTGCTGTCCTTGCCCACACCTCTCATGGGTAGTGGAGTGTCAAGAAAAGGGTTAAATAATGAGAATCAATGAAATGCATGTGTTCACTAAGTGATCTCAGCTGCACGCCATTTCTTATGAGGGACTGGTTACCTGCCTTGGGAAAGAAACGTTATTTACAAATAGCCTTGAATACACTATCAGCATGTATGTGCCCTTGGTTCTATCCAAGGCTGAGAATGATCCCTTCCAATCATGCAGGCCTCTTGGCACCAAGTCACTTTTGGTGAACATAGTACTTAAGAAACCAAGGAACTAAATTCAGTGCAGTACTTTCTCTCGTCTGCTGAGGGTATGTCTCATGTACTATCCTTCCCCAGAGGATTCCTCTTCATCATGTATGATTTGACTATGTTCATATCTGCTTCACTTTTATAATAAACTTACTTTCATCTTTTAAAAATCATTATGTGGATTTTCCCTATTGTTTCAGACCCAAACTTCAACTTTCTGTGGTCACATATATGTATCTCACAGGATCAAAATATCTCCCATATCACTTAAAGAGTCCTCAGAATCAGCACAGTCACCATGGAGTCCCAGTCAAAGAATAAACTCACAAAGCAAGAGGTCACAAATAAGAGCTTGGAGCATGCAGGAGTTACTCACAAAAGACTCTTCCTGAACTGTGACCAAGCACAGACCACACAGACAGGCTGCACAGGGACATGAATGAAGCCACACCACACCCGACCTCCAGCAGGGACTGCAGCTTCAAGGCATCCTACATAGTTCTCACTGTGCCATGGAATTGCCTATGTCCATGGTTTACTATGGCACCTGGGTTCCCATCACAAGCAAAGCTCATTTGTTATTCTCAGGACACACCACGATTACCCAGGTTGACAAGAACAATGACCTGCACACCACAGCCCTGGATTGGGCCTCAGCTAAGGCAAATTCTGTTATTTCACCAGGATGTGGACCCACACAATAAAGGAAAATGCCTCTCCTCTCTATGAACAATGTTCTCTCACACTCCTCAGGTTGGTCTAGCAGGATTCTTCTGTGCACTGCCTGCCTATGCGGCCCTGCTCCATGTTCCTGGTGCCCACTCATAATTCTTATTGAAAGGGTTTTGGCCCAGACAAGACTCTGTAGCCAGAAAAGCTTCAACCAGAACCAGGGATCTCCTATCTCCCACGCCTCTAGAGATTTACCTGTGACTCTATCTCCCCCCACCCTTAGGAATCTTCCACTGGTGCCAAACGTGTGTCAATGAGATACCCGTGCATCTCTAATGGCCTTAGGGCACTACTCTAAGCTTAGGCTACTTATATACCCACCAGAGAAAAAGCCAGACTCCAGTGGTTGGGGGGTGTTGGTTTCCTCTCTCCA